GCGAAAAAATATATGATTGAAAAATTGAAGAAATTTGAACTTAATCAAACCCGATTTTCAAAATGTTGAAAAATTAACGTAATAAAAACTTGATTTGGTTTAATTTTTGAATAATTTTTTTTTTTAATTTTCTTCTCGAAAATACATTTCTGTAAAACGAAAAAATCAAAATTCAAGAAACTAAAAAATATATGATTCAAAAATTGAAGAAATGTGAGCTTAATCAAACCCGATTTTCAAAATGTTGAAGAATTAATGTAATAAAAACTTGATTTGGCTTGATTTTTGAACAACTTTTTAAAATTTCTCTGCGGAAAAAACACATTTTTGAATTTGATTTTTTCACCAAAAACACGAATAGGATAAATGAAGTGATAAAACTGCAAACAAAATTGAACCATCTGGCACAGTTAAAAGTAGAAATTATGTATAAATCGATAAAGAAGATCGATACGGAAGGAGTCGAGGTTGAACAATTTCTGCATCTTACGCTAAAACTATGTCTGCGATAGATCATTAATCATCCTTCTAAGAATATCAATCTTACAAAAAACACGGGTATCAATTAATCCGCCACCAACACTTCTTGAGCATCAGTGCTGTTCCATGTTAGTAATGCTATTGGGATGCTTTCACATTCTACCCCTGGTCCATCGATCCTGCGCTACACAACCCTACCATCCATTGCTTGGTCGATGTATGTATTATGCTTTTAAATTAATACTCGCGCATATCTAGAACTCACATCCGGACACCTTGCAACAAAATGTAAATTTTTTGGCGAGAAAACGATTTTGCGAACCGGCAGGCATGGGAAGCTGAAATTTTGGGATCTTACCTTTTCGGGGTCGCTGGAACGGTAAATTCAAAACTTTCAAACTTTTAAATTAAACTTTTACTCAAAATTAAATTAAGCTTTAAAATTTAAAATTAGAAATTAAAATTAAAAAAATTAACAAAACTTCGAAAATTTAAATTAAACTTTTACGCGGGTAAATTCACCTACAAAATGCAAGATAATCATCATAAAAATACATTCTCCTAACTAGGCTAACTATGATGGAATCTATGGACTACGCGTCACTTCTTCCAGCTTTCGTCTTCCACCACGCTTTCACACTATCATGCCCTTCTTCCGTTACAACAACCAGTCGTTGCATATCGTCGTACCATAACATGATACCTGGAAAAATTAGTATATGATGTTTGCACAGTATTACACAGCTATGAAAGTACTCTCAGAAATAATAATAAAATGCAGCAAAAACCACTAGCTGACAAAACAACCCAAAAAAATCGTATTTTTCTATGCAACTCAAAAACTCAAAAAAAATTCGTATTTTTCAAAAGAAAACTCAAAAAAACCCAAAAAAAA